CTCTCACTTTTGGCAAGATCAGGGCTCTTATCTTAGATCAGGTTGCTATAACAATACACCATACACTGGTGGCTTAGAAACCACAGAAATTTATTTCTCACAGTTCTGGAGGCTGATAGTCCAAGATTAAGGTACCAGCAGATTTGGTGACAGCCTGCTTCCTTGTACACAGATGGCTATCTTCTGTGTCCTCAAATGCTAGAAGCGGCAAGGAAGCCCTCTGGGGTCCCTTTTATAAGGGCATTAATCCCATTAGTGAGGATGTCACCCTCATGACCCTATCATCTACCAAAGGCCTCACCTCCGAGTACTGTCACACAGGGGGTTAGGAGCTGAATTTGCAAATTGGGGCGGGGACACAGATGTCCAGACTGCGGCAGTTCCTGGGCTTCTTGGGCCCTGACTTTCCCTCACTCTCTGCCCCCCACCCTATTCCTTTCTCCTTCGTGGGCTGCCCATTGAATGAGAAGCACCAGCTGCAAAAGGTCTTTGTAGGGCCTCTGGAAGACACAGGTGCCACTGGACAGCAGCCTACAGATGCCTGCCCTACGGAGAGCACCGGAGGTTGTTGGGCTTTATCAGATAATTAACAGGAGCAATCAGCCTGGGAAGACTTGTCTTGACAAAATTAGAAGATAGGTGTCTTTCTCCCTGTTCTTTGTCCCAAGACACCCAGTGAGCTGACCTAGGAGAAGGTGGGCCCAAGTGTGCACAAATCCCATCAGATCCTTTTCCATCTCAGGATGCTGGGCCTTGGTGCTGGGCCCTCCTGGGGGAAGGAAGAGAAGAAGCTAATGGACAGAACTGAGTTTTTTTTTTTTTTTGTTTTTTTTTTTTGGAATACTGGACCTTCAACCCAGAGATGCTCTACCACTGAGCCACATCTCGAGACTTTAAAAAAAAAATTAAATTATTTATTTATTCTAATTTGTTATACACAATGGCAGAATGCAGTTCATTTTGTATTACACATATATAGCACAATTTTTCAAGTTACTGATTGTACACAAAGTATTTTCATACCATTTTTGTCTTCATACATGTACTTAGGGTAATGATGTCTAACTCATTCCACAGTCATTCCTACCCCCTTGCCCCCTGCCCTCCCCTCCCTCCTCTCCCCTCCCTCCCTTTGCCCTATCTAAAGTTCCTCCATTCCTCCCATGTCCCCTCCCATCACCACTGAGTCAGCATCCTCATATCAAAGAAAACATTTGGCCTTTGTTTTTTGGGGATTGGTTAACTCTATTCTCCAACTCCATCTATGTACCTGCAAATGCCATGATTTTATTCTCTTTTAATGCTGAGTGATGTTCCATTGTGTATATATATTACATTTTCTTTATCCATTCATCCACTGAAGGGCATCTAGTTTGGTTCCACAGTTTAGCTATTGTGAATTGTGCTGCTACAAACACTGATGTGGCTGTGTCCCTGTAGTATGTTGTTTTTAAGTCCTTTGGGTATAAGCCGAGGAGAGGGATAACTGGGTCAAATGGTGGTTCCATTCCAAGTTTTCCAAGGAATCTCCATACTGCTTTCCAGATTGGCTGCACCAATTTTCAGTCCACCAGCAATGTATGAGTGTACCTTTTTCCCCACATCCTCGCCAATACTTGTTGTTTATATTCTTGATAGCTGCCATTCTGACTGGAGTGAGATGAAATCTTAGTGTAGTTTTGATTTACATTTCTCTATTTGCTAGAGATGTTGAACATTTTTTCATATGTTTGTTGATTGATTGTGTATCCTCTTCTAAGAAGTGTCTGTTCAGTTCTTTGGCCTATTTATTGTTTGTTTGTTCGTTTTTTTTTTTTTTTTTTTGGTGTTAAGGTTTTTGAGTGCTTTATATATCCTAGATTAGTGCTCTATCTGATGTGCTTGTGGTAAAGATTTGCTCCCATTCTGTAGGCTTCCTATTCACCTCACTGATTGTTTCTTTTGCTGAGAAGAAGGTTTTTTGTTTGAATCCAGCACAAGAATTAAAACCAAGAATCAATAAATGGGATAGATTCAAACTAAAAAGCTTCTTCTCCACCCTTTTTATTTTTTATTTTGAGGCAAGGTCTTGCCAAGTTGCTTAGGGCCTCGCTAAATTGCTATGGCTGGCTTTGAACTTGAGATCTTCCTGCCTCAACCTCCTGAGCTGCTGGGACTATAGGCATGCACCACAATGCCTACCTAGAACTAAATCTTAATAACCAGAATCAAACTGTCCTAGAAACTCAAGAAAATTGAAAATCATGAGTTGAACCAAGTTATAGTGAAGGGAGCCTTTAACTAATGAGAAAAGAGTATAGATTTCTTTAGTGTAGATGGGGGAACATAGAGGGAATGGAACTATTTCCTGTTTTTTCCTTACTGGGCTGAGACTCCTCAATCTACCAGTCACTCTTGAAGTCGCAGAACACAGTGTCATTGTCATGGTCAGCCCTAGACCAGGTCACAAACCATGAAGGTGAGACTGCAAAGGAAGAATCCAGAGCAGTAATGCTGGAGCTTGGAAGAATAAAAAGAAGCTTCCCCAAGGAGAAATGCTGGTGGGAGAGTGAGAGCTGGGCCAGGGACACAGGAATACCACGAGATGGTCAGCTGTGCAATTGTCGCTGTTCTAAAAAAGGGCCAAAGAGGTGTTGCAGTGGTCACAGCAGGCCACGTGCAGGCAGAGTTATAAAGGGACAGAAATCAAGAGCGGGCAGAGCAAGTGGAGGGTTATAAAGAGGAGAAAGTAAAAGAAAGGCAAAGATGCTGTGAGCAAGAGCCAGGCCTCTGCTTAGCCTCAGTGCTGAGTCTCTTCCTTGCCACATGCACCCCCCTTTTTTTTCAATATTTTTTTAGTTGTTGATGTAACTTTCCTTCCCCCCCCCGCCCCCGCCCCGGTATTGGGAATTGAACCCATGGCCTTGTGCATGGGAGGAAAGCACTCAGCCAACTGAGCTCTATCCCCAGCCCTCAGGGTATGAGGCTTAATCCTCTCCCCTGATAAAGTACCTCAAAGCTACCTCCAGTGCTAACTCGGGCCTCTCTGATCTTCCTCTCCTTCCTCCTTTGCTTCCAATTCTGCATTTCAAAGTTGCAAAGAGCCATCTTGCAGGGCAGGGCTCTCTTGGTGGGGGGCTAGGGCTGGGGGTAGGGACCAAAAGGAAGGAGTGGGCCAGCCAGAGTTCCCCTCAGAGAAAGAGAGCAGAGAGGTTCCGAGCAGTCTTGATTAGTGACTTTTAGTCCATCAAGCAATGAGTGTGCAGGTTCTTTGCAGCTCAGTGACTTTGACAAGGACACCACAGTCAGTTATTCGGCCTCTAGAACTCTAGGTTGTTACATTTCACTGTGTGCTGATTCCTGTCTCATGGGTAGCCTGGAGGGTTGATGTGTGGCCTGTGTGATGTGCAGGGTCCTCTTGAGCCCAGTGGCTCTGTGGACACACAGAAGTTTGGAAGTGCAGCTGCCATAGCCCAAGGGACACGGCTCTTTTTGCAGCCCTCAGGACAGGAGGGCTTTTGCTCAGCTCCCACATCCAGCTCCTCTGGGGTCAGAGTCCTTCTCTGTGCTACTCTGGGCTCTCTCTGGGTCCCTGCCGCTGTGTATTGGTGGCTGTGGCAGTCTTCTGTTCCTGCTGTGCCCTGTGTGTGCTCTTCAGCATGCCCCAGCGTGGCTGTGTGTTCCCTTAGGAGAGTCCAGGGGAGGAAGGCTGCCTGTCCATGTGCTTCCTTGGCCGGCCTGGTGAACCAGGGCCAGAGACAGTGTTGCTCACCAGGGCGTGGGCTGCTCTGAGCACACAGGGCTTGGATTCCCCTGGCCGCCTGGCCTGTAACGGGCAGGACTAGTGTCAACAGCTGGCTGCGGGACTGGGAGGCCGTCTAACCCACTTAGCAAATCTGCTGCTTAGAAACACAAACAAATAACGAGTGTGCTAATTACTAGTGATAACAAGGTTTACCGTTTTCAACACGTATCAGCCTACCCAGTCTGCATCTCCCCATAGCCTGTGAGATAGGACAAGTGTTCTTCCTGCCCGAATCTGTGGAGGAGGTAAGCGAGAGCCAGAGGGGTTAGGACACTCGTCCACAGTCACACAGCTATGTTCAGTTTCAAACTCAGGGCTGCGTCATCTCCTGCTGGGTTGGGTGGTATTTGCACACCATCTTGTCCACTCACTCCAGGGGGGCCCTTGACCAGTGAGAAAGCAGTTGGGAGTATGCCATGTCCCTCCAGTGATGGAAAGGTGAGGGGTGAGCACCCCAGGGTGAGCCTTGCTGTGGGCTGCCCTCAGGTCTTAGAAGGTTCCTCTGGTTGGGCCTTGACAGGCTCCAAGGTCCTGGGAGGCATTCTGCTGGTGACCTGGGGACAGGGACGGGGGCAAAGACCTCAGAGTAAGATGGTCCTGTGATTCCAAGCCCAGGCACTTACAAACTCACTCCAGGTGAGACCCCTTCTGTGCCAGAGGCGTGATTCCTTCAGCTGGGGTCGAGAGAGGGCTGTGGCATAATAATCCCCGTTTCTATACTTGCTCTGAGTCAGTGCTTCATAAGTGTTCTTTCATCTTGTGGCCACCCAGGAAGAGGCTGTGTGGGGTGGGGGGAGGCAGCAAGAGGGAGGCCGAGGCTGAAGGGGGAATAACTTCTAGAGTCATTCCCAGCCAGAGACTCCTTGCAGCTGTGCGAAGACCTTTGCCGTTTGGGGAGTGGTTTATATAGGGGACCCAGGATGGCTCTCAGCCCATTTTACAGTTGAGGACACACAGGCCTAGAGGAGTAAAGAATGCTAATGAGTTCCAACCCGTGCCCAGCCTGCTCAGGCACCCTTACAGGGACCCTAGGCGGTAGGAGCTGTTATACCCATTTATCCCAGTTCCTGGATGGTGGAGAGAGGATGGACATGTGGACTACAAAGTGTCATGGGTGATCAGCGCTCTTATTTCCGTGATCCAGGAGGGCGGGTGGAGAAGTGGGGGTGAAAGGGTTAACTTAATTTTGGCTGTCATTCCTTTTTGGCATCTGCGAGTAAACTTAATAGGATCTCGGCTTTCCTGTTGCCTCACCAGCGAAACAGAAACCAGACCACGAGGGGGTCTGGAGATGGTTAACTGGCGATGCCTCTTGGTGGGCAGGCAGCAGGGCCTCCTCGGAGACAGCACCAGGAAATGACTTTTGCTGGAAACTGCCACTCTGGGTTCTCCTGGCACCAGGGTGAGGGCAGGGCCGGGGAACTGGGGTCTCCTGACAGTCTGGCTCCAGGCAGAGGGGAAGATGGCGGGTGCAGGGTCCGTGGACTGGTGCCAGGATCCTGGCTCTCCCTCCTTTTCACCTTTGAGGCTTAGCCTGCCGGGGATCTTGCCTCTCAGGGTTCAGTGTAATAAAGTGCTAAGCCCGGGACAGAGCGGGCCCAGCTCGATGCCTGCTAACTCTACCCAACTTCTGGTTTTTCTTTCTCCTCCTCCCCTACTCCTCATTTTGATCTCAGCTTGAATGTCACTGCCTCCAGGAAGCCCTCTGCTACTGGACTGGTGATGCTCCTTGGGGCTCAGTTATAGGCCCCATGGTGCCCCCTTGCTCCCCTGCCCTCACCCCCTCATACTTCTTTCTCTGGTCTCTCCTAGGGTGGGAGTTGAGTGTGGCTCTTTCACCTTGACCTTGGCAGAGGGTCCTGCCCCATTCACAACCTTATAAGGGAAGGGGACTGGGTGTGTGTCGGGGGGCAGGTCATCAGGTCACCAGGTGCCCTCTGGGAGCCCTGAGCCGGGGGATTTAGGCAATCCCCAGGTTGGGACTCTCCTGCCAGGACCACTTTTCTCTCTGCGGTGGTTTTCATTATTTTACATTCCCAGACTATTTTGGAAGCTGGCTGCCATGGGAACCGAGTCTCTGGAAAGCCCCAGCCTCTTTCTTTCCCCTCCTGCCCCACCCCTTTCCATCTCCATTCCCTCTTAATTGGTTTTTAGTTCCCTGGCTTTCAGGCCAGTCTGTTTATTTTGATTGCAACTCAACAGAACAAACCTTTAATGAACCAGCTTGTGGAGAGAGCCATTAGCAGCCGCCTGCCTCGGGGAGTGGGGGAGGCATCGGCCTGGGCTGCAGCCCCCCGGGGGGAGGTTTTGGCCAGGCTTCGGTGGCAGCCAGCTCTTGGGCCCAGTCTTCCTTCAGGCACAGTCTAGAAAGCTTGGCCTCCCCAAGCTGTCTGCAGCCTCAGCTGGGATGACCTCCCAGCCTTTGAAAAGACGAGGTGGCTTCACAGAGCTCCCCGGTCTCCCAGGGCCCAAGAGGGGCACACCAGCTCTACCCCACTGTGCAGACATGGGGGTGAGGCTCACTGGAACCCAGAGACCCGAGTCTCAGCCAGCAAACTGTCCCTTGGTAAACCGGGACCAGAGCCCTTGTCCTTCCCCTTGAGGAAGGCACCGATGGTTTCCCAGGAGTGTCACTTGTCCTCTGGCCAAAGCCACAGTGACAGTCCAGGCCAGGCTCCACCAGAAAGGTCCTGGCTTTCTGGAGCAGGATCTTCTGTTTTGCCCCTTCTCTAACACAGAGCCAGCTGGACCCCCACTATTTATAGGGCTTCTTCGTGGACTGAGTGGAATCACATGTTCCCGGAGCCTTGCAGACAGGAACCTGCGGATCCCAGGGTGCTGTTGTGAGTGCAGAGCTCAGAACCATCCGGGCAGCTTCCTTGCCTTCAGCCAGCCCAGGCTCCGGGCTGACCTGAATGGACGTGGCTGGTTTGCCCTTCCGTACTGACCTTGTTTGCCAGAGCTGTTGACCTCAGAAGTGGAGGCCCTGGAGCAGAGAGCTGCCTTAGGGTTCAAGACAGCGGCTTTCAAGCTTCTGTAGCCAGGGCCTGAGGAACATGGGTGGGCCGGCCTCTCCCCATCTCTACCTTTGGTCTGGGGGGCTCGGCTTTCATGGCTCCCTAGCGTGGGGAGGTTTTTATTCAGAACAGAAACCTCCGTCTCTGACCCAGTCCCTCCCTCGGCCCTCACCTGCGATCACCCAGGTGGGCTGAGCTTCCTTTCCTCTAGGTGACTGGGTGAAGGAGGAGGCTCTTCTGGCCAGTGGAGGTCAGAGGAAGTCGCTCGGGGTCTCGGGGAAGTTTTCTTGTTCCTAATGGGAACAAAAGATAAAAGATGAGTTTTCTTCTTCTTTGTCTATAGGTGACCTGGTACCATGGTAGCCATCCTGTGTCCCTGAAGGAAGCCAGGATGAGGACAAAGCCATCCCTGGAGGTCTGCAGAGTGCCAGGTGACACTGGAGAGCAGTAAACCATCCCATCCCTAGGGTGGGCCTGTCTTTGAACTTCTGGACTCTCCATGCGATACATTTCCGTATTATTTAAACTGGTTTAAAGTATTATGCTAACTTTGTTTCTTATATTATTATTATTATTATTTTAGCTGTGTATTTTTGTCTGCCTGCTTTTATTTTTATAGCCACACCAGGTTGTGGGCTCAAAGATAGAAGACACAGACATTCAGAGTTGCCATGTATATCAATTAGGAATTACTTTTGGCTGCTTAAACCCTAAACAACTAAGTGAATACTTTTCTCACTTAATGGGGAGCCTGGAGAAGGCGATCCAGCTGAGCTCAGCTGTTGAAGGGAGTCATTAAGAATCAAGGTTCTTGCTATTTCCCTGTTCTTGCCATCCTTGATTTAATTTTCTTCACATGGTCATCAATGGCTGCATCACTTCCAGCCATCACATCTGAGTTCCATGCTGGGGATGAAGGATGTAGAAAAGGAAGTTTGTGCCATCTGAATCTGTGTTTTTTGTCAAGAAAACAATACCTCTCCAGAATCCTTACCCTAAAATTCTTTATATCTGTCATTGGCCAGAAATGCATGACATGGACATCTTAGCTAAATTTATGGGACTTTGGCTACCCCAAACAAACTTGGGATTTTGTTAAAAAGGAGAGAGGGTGGGAAATAGATACTGGGAGGGAAAGGGGGATCTTTTGCGGTGGGCTTGGCCAGCCCAGCTCAGCAGGGCAACTGAGACAGGAATGAGCCCAGAGGGTGTGACCTGGCTCTGAATGCTCTGGGGCCACGTGGGCCTCTATTTGCTGCCTTCCCTCAATCACCCCCAGCCCCACAGATGCCAAAGCGGTCTCTCCACAGCACCTGCTCTGTCACATGTCACATTACTCCCCTGTCAGAAATCTCCCTTTGTTCATAGGATGTGGTCAAAATGCCCTGGCCCCATATTTCAGGTCCTTCCAGGACAGGTGACAAACCACCTCTCTGGCCTGATTTGTCCTCTGTATTCTGCCCCTTTTGGGTGGTGCCCTTGACTTGTTCTCATGTAGCATCTCCCATCCTCTCTACCTGGTGGACCCCACCACCTTTAGGGTCACCTCATCCCCGAAGCTGACTCTCCTGCTCTGGACCTTCCCTGGGGTTCCCTCGGCGTGATGACTTGTGCTACTTAAATCGAGCATTTGTTGAGTATCAGCCACCTCAGCATTCACACACACACCCACGTGTTTACACGCCCATGTCTTGCACGTCAAAGATGCTCTGTAAGTCTTCACTTCTTCTTTCCAAACCTCCCATCTCTGGCAACCTCCAGCCAGGGCCCTTGGAAGATCGATGGATTTCAAAACACTGACTTGGGAATATTCTTGCAGTGATTTAAAAAGTCCAATGTTAATATTGAACTGCTGTGACAATTGATGGTCATTTCTGCCAAGATGGGCATCCTGTCTTGCCCACCATGATGTCCCCAGCACACAGTGAGGTACCTGGGACTCTTAGGCACTAATAAAACAAAAACAAGCAGGAAAAAAAAACAAAAAACTCAACAACACCCACTTGTTGCAAACGTCCTAAGGAAGCTCTCCTGAACAGCTCCCCGTGGACACCACACGCCTGAATCCTTATCCTCCCCTGCAGCCTGGAGGCAGCTTCTCCTCTCTCAGTCCTCGTGGGGGCGTTGAGAAGCCCAATCCCTCAAGCCCGTTTAGAGAGACCAGCCAAGGAGTCTCCTAACTGAGGTTGCAGTTCCAGGCTTGGCACAGCAGTGTCACCAGGAACACCAGTGCCCTCGTGTTCTTGCCCAGGGGCGGCTGGGAGGCCACCGTGCTTCCCACTGCACTCTCCAGGATGGATGCTGAGCCACAGTGGGAAGTGAAGGGTGGGAAGGAATGGTATTGGGTAAGGAGCCAACAGCATGCACCTTCCTTTTGTTTGAAGATAAGGGACAGGGGCTTGGCAAGATTAAGTGACTTGCCAACATCCCACAGTAGGTTAGGAGCAGAGCTGGGGTCTGTCTGTCTCTGAAACTGTCATCTTCATGATGCAAGATAGGTGTAGGTCGCAGAGCAAGTGTGTGTGTGTGTGTGTCTGGATGAGGGAATTCAGACTCTGGGGACCTCCATCCTAGGGTCTGATGATTGTGGCTCTGCAGACACAGCCCCTCTGGATTTGGAACTCCTTCTCCTTGAAAATGGACTTTATTAGGAAGGGATGGGATGGGATGGGATGGAAAAGAAGGACTATGTGACTTAATATTTTAAAATTTTAATTTTCAGAATAGGCACAAATGATAAGAATACAGCTCAATTAATTTTCCTAAAGGGGACACTCTTGTGTCTAGAACCCAGTAAGAGAAACAGCACATTACCAGAACCCCAGCAACTCTCTTCTTGACTATTTGTAGTCCTTATATCCCCCTTGCCAGGGCTGACCATCATCCTGAGCAAAACAATTTGGGCTGTTTGGGTACTTTGTATAGATGGAACTATATACTATGTATTCACGTGTGTGAATTCTTTGTTCAAAATTATACTGGTGAGGATTATCCACGTCATCATGTAAGCTGGGGTTCTTATTGTTATGCTGCATAGTATTCTACTTTACGACTATACTTCAATTTATCTATTTTACTTTGATGGGTATTTTGAAAAACTAGTTTTTAGCTATGACGTATGGTGCAGCTATAAGCATTTTGAACATGTACAAAGTCCTGTTGAATGTATATTGGGAGTGGAATCTATGGGCAACAGGAAGGTGTTTATTTAGTTTTAGTGGGTAGGGGCAAACATTTTCAAAGGAGTAGTATTAATTTCCACTCCCATCAAGTTGCTCTGTCTTCTTGCCAACACTTGGTATTATCAGTGTTTTTAACTCTTTTGTTGAGTAGGTATATAATGGTATCTCATTATGGCTTAATTTTCATTTGTGTTTCCTAATTGACTAATAAAACTGAGCACCCTTTCATGTATTTATTGATCATTGCTATAGTTTTATCTTTTAAATTGAACTACCCTGACAGAGAAATGGGCAGAGGCCTTCTGAGAAGGTGTGTAGTTTCTGAGCTTGGGAAGGTTTGGGAGGCACAGAACAGCTGCTTCATGGCTATGCAGAAGAGGAGTGAGTACCTGGGGGCCAGCACTGCGGTGATGACTAGTCCCACCAGCAGGGAGGCAGGGGGATTCCCCGGGCACAGTGTGGGGAAAGAGCTGTCCTTGGTTCTAGCACTTATTAGTTGCCACATTTGGGACAAGTACCTTAATTTTCACCTCTGTCAAATGGAAAGAGTGATGCCAACTCTACAGGATTCTTGTGCGATTTAAATGAGATGAGATGTGAACATTGTTGTGGCATAGGACACAGAAATGGGTCATCTGCAGCAGCAGGCCCAATAAATGATAGCTGCTATTACTATATTATTGTTATTATTTTGGTATTATGGATTGAACTCAGGACCTTGCACTTGATGCTAGGTAAGTGCTCTACCTCTGAAATATATGCCCAGCCTTTTTTTTTTTTAAACAATTTTATTTTATTTATTTATTTTTGTGGTGCTGGGGATTGAACCCAAGACCTTGTGCATTTGAGGTAAGCACTCAGCCAACTGAGCTACATCCCCAGCCCCTTTACAATTTTATTTTGAGACAGGGTCTCACTAAGTTCCTAAGGCTGGCTTTGAATCTGTAATCCTCCTGCCTCAGCCTCCCAAATTCCTGGGATTACAGGCATGTGCCACCGAAAGACTTCCTTTTTATGCTTAGAAACTTATCTCTCAGACTTCTACCCTTGCCTTAAGAAATTTGCAGTCTGAACTGAGCACTGTAGTGCATGTCTGTAATTCTAGCAGCTTGGAAGGCTGAGGCAGGAGGATCCCAAGTAAAGGATCAGCCTCAGCAACTTAGTGATTTAGTGAGACCCTGTCTCAAAAAAAAAAAAAAAAAAAAAAAAAAAAATTTAAGGGCTGGGGATATGACTCAGTGGTAAAATGCCTCTGGGTTCAATCTCCATGACTATAAATAAAATAAAATAAGTTACCAGCCTAAGTACTTGTCTTTCTTCTCATATCCTGATCTAAGATCCTCAGAACCCAACACATAAAATGAAATAAAAAGTACCCATTTCTCCTAAAAAAGATGCTATATAAAAAATGTGGGGGTTGGGGGCAGAGCTCAGTGGCAGAGCACTTGTCTAGCATGACAGCTTCTGGGTTCTATTCCTAACACCCCCAAACAAATAAATAAATAAATAAAAATCTGAGTTTAGTTTTTCATTGCTACAGTAAGTTAGTAAAAGTCATATTTTATATCCAGCACAGCAGCTCTCTGTCAAGCAAGGGCTTTCCATGGTTTGGATGTGACTCATCTACCCTCATCTTTGTCTTCTGTTTTATCATGAACCCTGGGGGAAGAGGAATGGTCAGAGAATTGTCAATGGAGGAGTGCCAAGAAGTTCATGGTCAAAACCAGCCCCAAGGACTGACAGAATTAAGTCCTCACTAGGCTGGTGGCCTTCAGAAGATGAAATTTATCCTGGAGTACCAAAATGTATCAAGCTTGATTTTTTTCCTCCATCCTGACTTAGTGTTCCAGAGAGTGGATTTGGGACACAAAAATATCCAAACACCATTTTGCTGGGGACGGCAGTTGGGGAGAAATATCCTCTGGTTGGAAGCCCAAGATACAAGGACAGAAGCAAAACATTTGGCTGATTTATCAACTCTCCTGGGGTCATCTGAGTCCAAGTCCACCCCTCCTCCAGGAATAGTCTGGAATTGCAGTGGCCACTTTGGGGGAACTTTTAACACGACCAAAATGGTTCATCTTGAAGGTACCTTAGACCAGTGGGTAACAACCTTTTTCCATGAAGGGCCAGATCATCAGTATTTCAGGCTGTGTAACCCAGGCCGTCTCTGTTGCTGACTACCTGACTCCGCTGTCGGGTGTAAGAGTGGCAACAGACAATGGAGGAGCAAGCAGGCTTGGCTGCAGTCCAACACACCTTATTTACCACAGAAGGCCTGGGTCAGAGTTGGCCTGTGGGCTGTAGTTTACAGAACCCGGCTCTGGGCTGTCCCTCACCTGCCAACATTATCTGGGTGAACAGTCAAGGTCGCGGCAGGGATGGGAACCAAGACCTCGAGGCCTACTTGAAAACCTCTGAATGAATTTTATACACTTGTCCTCTGTGATGAAACATGGATGTGTCCTCTGAGTTTTGCTTGCAAGTGTGTTTTCAGATTTCCTGAAGACTTTCTTGTTTAAAGACTGTCAATCAATCGATCAAAACTATTCAACATTGTGTTTTTTCTAAAGGAATTCCCAATCTATGATGCTACTGATAGGTGTCATTTTTCTGAGATGGTCACTGATGACCTCTTCCAGACATGGATAATTTACTCAAAATGTCCTCTGTCCACTCACCTCCCAATCTACTATCGACCTAGAAAGAACAAAGGGAATTTGCATTTCCCTGGTTTGAAGCCTGCCCTTGGCCTTAGCAGCAGTAAGATCAACTCCTTTGAGAATTCATCAGTTCTGTCCTTAGGAGTCGGTAACAGGCCTACCCAAGTATGGAGGCATATCATCTCTGATCCTAGACTCTGCTGCTCGAAGCAAGTACAGCCAAATAGTGCGAAGGATTCATGCCATATGCCAGTGTCATTATTGACATCCCCCAGTCCATCCCTGAACAACCTCAAAGCTCCAATGATTTTTTTTTTTTTTTGGTGTATGTGGGGGGAGGGTACTGGGATTGAACCCAGGGACACTTAACCACTGAACTACATCCCCAGTCATTTTTATATTTTTACTTTGAGACAGGGTCTCACTGAGTTGCTGAGGCTGACCTCCAATTTGCAGATCTCCTGTCTCAGTCTCCTGAGTTACCGTGATTATAGGTGTGTGTCGCCACGCCTGGTTCCAACATTTCATTTTTTAAAATAAAAGATTGTTCTGGCTGAACATTGAAACATTATAGTGTTAACCCTGGTTTGGAACATTAGGATTCCTAAAACTTGGAGTAAAAAAAAAAAAATTACTCAAAAGCATCATTGCTCTCGATGGAGTTCATATTCCCCTTACAATGCAGTTCAAAAGAAGTGGAACCAGAGAGCCCAAAGCAGAGTTCTTGGGGTACAGAGCAAGACCCTGTTGAGAGGCCTCAGACTTCTTTCCCTGGCAGACAAACAGTTCCGAGAGTGAAGGGCTCAGGACCCCTCTGCTGCCTCTTCTGTGTGGAATTAGGCTTGGTCCTCCCAGACTTGCTGACCCTCAAGTGACCCTTCTAAATCCAGATAATCCTCTGAGGGTCAATCCACAAACCCATCACCCTCAGCTCCATCAGAGCCTGAAAATCTCCAGGGCCAGCATGCAGGGAAGCCGGGGCTCTCTCCTAGCTGGTGGGAATGGTATATTGGGTCTGGCAGATGTGCCCAAGCCTGGGAGTCAAGAGGGTCTCTTTGCTTTCCCGTTCGGGATTGTTGAAGGAAGAAGAAATTCACTTAGAATCAGTCTGGACCCAAATTCGCTTTGTTCTTTGGGCCTGCAAAGACACTCCAAAGGGACATCTAAAAAAGGGGCAGGGGTGACCCAAAGGTAATGGAAACACACAGGGGAGGATAAACCCCAGAGATGCCCGAGCCGGTTCCCAGACTGCAGCCCTGACTGGAGGGAACAACAGAGACAAACTTAATCCCTGTCCTCAGAGAGACCTGCCCACTGGGCTTTAGCAAAAGCCGCTGTGCTTTTTCTCTGTTCCTGGAGAATTCTGACAAAATAGCCCCGAGCCCCTCAAAGCAGGGGAGCAGAAGTCCACCTACCCTGGCTGGATCAGGCGCCTTGGCCAATCTGATGAGTTCTGTGTCTGCAGGGACTTAGGGCGCTGGCAATGGGGAGCTCAGTATGTGTCCTGAGTCAGAAAGAGCCTTTTTCATCCAGTCCTGATTCCTTCAAGTACAGCTTTGAACACTGAGGAAGGGGGGTGGGGGTGAGCCCGCCCTCGTCCTGTGGATCCGACAATATCACAAATGCACAGCTGCTGGTTCCCAGTCTAACCCTCTTCCCAGAGGGTAGCCTGATGGGGGTGAGGAGCTTAGAGTATGTGCTGTTCGTTCATTCATTCATTCATTCATTTATTGAATATCAGCTTTGTGCCTAGTCCTGAGTAAGATCTGTGGGAGACTCAGGGGAACTCACCCCATGACCTTTGCACTCCAGGAACTTCCATCTAAATTTGCCAGCACAGACACAAACTTACATGTGTGTGTGTGTGTGCACACAAGCAAACTCATGCATACACACGTCCACACACATACAGACTTGCACTCAGGAACGCTTAGGTTGTAACAGTGTTCCTTCCATAATGAACCACAAGTAAAGGTGTCAGAGGTGATCTCTGAGTGAGGAATGGGATGCACTGGGTGGGGATTGCTCCCTGGTGCTCAGAGATATTCTTACTCTGAACCTGAGTGACAATCTAGTCAGAGGACTATTGGTCTCACTCCCCAGCCCCAGGCTTGCACAATGATAGTGATTTGGGGATTCAGTTTTATTGGTCTGAATTGAAATGGGACTTTTGGGGCAGAACTGATAAGTCAGGGACTGAGGCGGTGGGGACTGGGTGAGAGAACTGAGGGGCCCTCTCTGATTGGTTTCCTGAGATTCAGACCCTGTCTAGAGCCTGAGGCCTTCCTTCCTCCCCAGGGTCCAGGCCCTGGAGAGCTTCTAAATGGGACCTTAAGGCTGTGAATGATGACTATACCAAACTCCAGACCACTGTGGGGTGTCCTGTGATGGACTTCTCCAGAGGGCACTTCCAGTCACCTGCAGAGTCATGGCTGTTCTCCAGGGTTCCCCAAGCCTCCAAGCCCAGGGTCTAGCCCAGAGCCATCAAAGGAGGACACTGTCTCTTCTGGTTGAAAACATAAGGAAAATGTATCTGAAAGTGAAAGGACAAATCCAAGGTAAATTAAAA